GAGAGTGGGGGCGTGTCTGAAATGAGCTGCTTTGGGGGCCCGGCACTGAGAGTGGGGGCGTGTCTGAAATGGGTTGTTTTGGGGGCCCGGCACTGGGAGGGGGGGGGGTCACAGTCTGTTCCAGCTGGCTTCCCAGGCCAAGTCAACATGTCATGATGATTTTCAGAAAAGCATAGGAAAATAAAAACTGGAATATTGGACTTGTTGTATATGAAATACACAAGAAGAATGGAAAAACAAAATGGATCCAAAAGTTATGTAAATGTGTGACCAAGTTTAATGAATAATCTAAAAGGTTGATTTTACATTTGAGGCAACACTTTGTTACCTGTGACTTCCAGTCCAATAATAAAAATTAATACAATTCTTTCATTCAACAGAATAAGATCTCTAAGCATATCTGAAGAACCATAAGGAATACGTCACTTTTGTAGTGGTACAACCTTTAGAAACACGTCAACTGTGCTTCAGATTATCTGCTGCAGAATAGTGACACCTGCTGCTTACAGGAAATAAGACAAAAGTAGCAAGGCTGCAAAGGTCATTTTGTACTACAAATTGTGGTAGATGGGGTTTCGCCTTTGGTTAGGTAAAAAATCCATATAAATATTAACCTCACTCTCCTGGGTATCTTCCACAGCCCACAGATTGTGGTTCAGGCAAAGCAGTGAGATTTCAAAGTGATTTCTTATCAACATTTCCTAAAAAATTAAGTGACAATAAAGACTGTCTGGAATCACCTCAGACCATTCAAGGTTTGCAGGATCACTCAAAACATTACGGTCTCTGAGCCCAAACCTACATCCTGTACTTCCACCAAATTCTACACAATGTTCAGCATGCCTCAGACGAATTTTCAATGAGAACAAGTGATTCTGGCATGAGTGGTGTTAAATATGACATAAATTTAAGCAAACCATTTCCCACATCGCTACAAAAGTACAGAAGTGGTTTTTTTTTTTCAAAACTAGTGGTAAACTGTATATATTTCAAAATCTCAGATCTTCCAACCGCTTCTCCAAAATCACATACCCAGAATTGGGACTGATTGTAATTCATAGGAGAGTACCCAGACAAAACAGAGCAGGTGGGATTTAATGTGTGATGTGACAATACAACCACAAATTCTCATAAGTAACCAATTTGTCACGTCTGGAACAGGGAAGCAGACGAAAGGAGCTGTACAAGCGAATAAATGGGATTTATTTGTCATTAGACTGCAATTAGACTCATGCCACCATCCCACCACCCCGTCAGGAGGGATGACTTTGCTGCAATGACTATTGGAAAAGACACTTGCTGGATGTGACATGAGCTTGAGAACAAACCAGTGAGAAATCACAAAATTCTGCCTTAAATGACAGTATATTTGAGTAATACCAGGCATGGTAATATAAGCTCATCATTACATTAAAACTTACACTGCCCATGCATACATAGAACAACACTAGGGGTCTACATAAGAACTTAAGACACTTCACAGCAGCTCAGCAGCTCAGTCTAAACAGGCGTTGCCTGCTGCATGGTGGCACTTGCGTCCCAATCTAAGGAGGCCCATCCAGGTGGGCACATGGAAGGTCTTGTCTCTCTGGCAACATGACCATCTTCCTCTGCTGTGGGGGGAGCTTCGTAAACTCCGCATTTCAGTGGCAACACTCTCTGAGGTATGCAGACCAGGGAGTGGCCAGATCTCTGAAGGTGGGTATACCTACTTTTGGTCTGGTCGCTCTGATGTCTACCATGCGTAGGGAGTAGCTGTTGCTGTGACGGATCGGCTGCTCCTTATGGTGTCTGATGTCACTCCTTTCAAGGAGCGTATTATGAGACTCTTCCTAAGGCACCCCTTGGGTGTCTTGTCTGTTCCCTCAGTGTATTCTGCGACCGCAGTGAGTGACGTCTCACAGAGGGAGACATTTTACTCGCAACTTCGGTCAGTCGGTGATTTGGGAGACCTTCCATGATAAGTCCCTGAAGGTTGCCGAGGGTTGTGTTGGTGTTGCTGGTGTTTCCAGGAGGAGGTATTTCATCGATAGGAGTTGCAGCTCATGACTTGGTGGCAACTCCAGTCTGTACCAGGAACTGAGGAGGACAGCTGTGAGGGCTCTGAGGGCAACACGGCAGTTGTTAGACGAATCTGTGAGCAGGTGACACATCATCTGTGGTCTAGTGACCCACATCCCACAGAGGAATTAAAGCATTGCATACATCTGAATCTGTTCCTCAGAGACTTGCAGTCAGGGTAGATAATGGAACAGTCCTTATGGATGACACAGCTGTTATGACCCGCTGGGCAGGCTACTTTGAGCAGTTGTTTAAAGCTGAACCTCCAGCTAGGACGTTGGACATCTCTGGGTCCACGGTTCCCGAGGCTGATCCTTCAGTCAGCTGTGAACCACCCAATCTCACTGAGAATCCATGGGAGTCTGTGGTATCCGGGGTGAACTTCTCCAGGCTGGTGGTAAGGCTCTCCTCCTGGCATTGCAGGCAATCTTTGCTTCCATTTGGGAGTCAGGCATCATCCCAGTTGACTGGAAAATGGGATTTGTAGTCCCTACCTGGAAAGGGAAGGGTGATCACCTGGATTGCGGCAACTACAGGGGGATAACACTGCTCTCAGTGCCGGGTAAGGTCCTTGCTAGGGTCATCCTCAGCAGGATCTGTGATCACTTGCTCACCTTTCAGAGGCCAGAGCAGTCTGGTTTTACGCCTAAGAAATCTATCATCGACACTGAGAGTGCAATGCGAATATCGGCAGAGGTTCTTTGCAGCCTTTGTTGATTTTCGTAAAGTGTTTAACTCAGTTGATCATGTTGCCCTGTTGGACATCCTGAGACTTTGCGGGATCCCCCGGAAGCTTCTGGACATCATGACCGGCCTATACACTGGTACTGTGAGTGCTGTGCAGAGTGGAGGGGGAACCTCTGCGTTCTTCCCAGTTGATTCTGGGGTTCGCCAGGGGTGTGTTCTTGCTTCTACTCTGTTCAATGCTTGCATGGACTGGGTGTTGGGTAGGGTTGTAGGGTCCAGTGGTCTTGGGGCATTTGGTGGTGAAGAAAGTTTTACTGATCTTTGACTTTGTGCCGAACAAACGGTTGCTAGAGGAGTCCCGAATGAGCCATATTACCTGCATGGTGAGGAAGTGATAGTTACGGCAGTACAGCCATGTGGCACATTTCTCTGAGGGTGATCCGGCTCGCAGGATCCTCGTTGCTGAGGACCCGAGGGGATGGACCAGGCCGAGGGGACGCTCACATAACACCTGGCTGCGACAGATGGATGGTCATTTCCAGAGGGTGGGACTGGACTGTGTATCTGCCTGAGGGGGTCACCAGTCAGGATCCAGAGGAGTTTCACCATGCGGTGGGTGTGGTAACGTGCTGCATCAGCGCATGCTCCCCAACCTGACCTGACCTGCCACCTGTCTTAAAGGCTGTAGCCCCCTCTCACACCATTTTATGCTCATCTGCATTTTCCTTAATACAAAGAGGTACATTTCAAACACTGGAACAAACTCTTGACAAAAATCTGCATTTGTCAGACAAAATGCCCTTCTCCGCAAAGCATTTAAGTGGATTTTCAGAATAACTGATAGGACCTTCCTGAGACTGCTCAGAGGAGAAATGAAATTAGAATGCAATACTTAGAAAAACAAAAACATTTATTGTAATACAGTATGAAAGTGTACTTTACAACTGCTGCATTGTTATAATATTAATACAATAAAACAAACAAAATTAACATAAAAACCCTTCAAAAGCAGCCAGGAAAAATCTAGTGTTAATTTCCCTGTTCTTGCATTTACTGCTCTACACAAGCTGAACATTCTGCTCCACATAACAGAATTTTATCATCACAATTCACGATGATTGTTGTTAAAGGCATTTAATGTCCTAACTTATCGTGAGTCTTTAATACAGTTAACATTATTTAAGTATTATCAAATGTATACTCGTTGGACAGTTTAGTGTGTGTTTGGTTGGTGTGCTTTACAGATGTCTTGCCCCTTAATGGACTATGAGGTCATTAAAATGGCCTTTTCAAGCTAATTATACACCCATGCCATCTGTAATTGGAACAGCTGCTGTGGAATCAGAATCGGTACTGTGTGTGTGTTCAGTGGAGAACTCATAATCACTGAGATATGGCCCACTGTCCTGGACCTCTCACCAGGCTCAGTGATGCTTGTAGAGGTGTGTGTGTCTGTGTTTGTGTCTGCGTGTGTGTGTGTGTGCGTGTGTGTTTGTGTGTGTGCATGCGACTGTGTTTGTGTGTGTGTGCTCTATGAGCGGCAGTGCCTGTAGGTGTCACCGGTTGGGCTGCTTAAAAGATAACAGAGTCGTGTTCCTCACAGGAGCCTGGCGTGAGCGTCACGTTGTCCAGGCCAATCTCGCCGCTGACACCTTTGCCACGCTCTGCCTCGAAGATGATCTGCACATAACAGAAGGACAGCAATATGCCAGCAGTAAGTCATTTAAGCCTGCAATGTCAAATTTTAACAAATGGCACCAGAAATCCACCCGATGTACTCAAAGTGCTATAAAAATGATCAGAAATCTGATTCTAGATGTTCAAAAAGGTATAATGCATGTGTCATTTCATTTTATATGATAAATAGTAGCAAAAACATCAAAATAACATTTATAATATCTAAATCTCTAGACAGCTATACATTTTATACTGTGCATGTTAATGCAGTTGTACTGTTACGAGGGAGACTGTAGTAAATATGGCAGGTCTTAATGCGAGTGCTGCTTCAGATAACCATGCAGTTTCACAGCAATGCGACGCTTCCTACCGACTGGGGGGGCTCGTCCTCCCAGGCCACGGTGAGAAGCTCGGTTTGCCAGGCCCGTCCGCGGCTGCTCCGCTGCTCCCACGCCGGGTAGCCGCTGTTGTCCAGTAGCACACGCAGGGTGCCCACCTGCTCGCCCACCAGACGGTAATTAAAGGCCAGGCATAAGGCAGCTCTCTGTGCGCCATGATTGAGCAGCAGCTTCAGCCGCGCGACGTCTTTCCTCTGCCCCAGGAGGCTGGCAGCCATGTAGTATCCAGGACCTGTGGTTGGATGGAGTGATTTTACCACAAACACTCCTGTAGGGTGCCCCCTCTGGGCCATGTTGTACATTGCCCCTACAATACAGAAGTGGCAATCACAGTGGGAAGTTTGTGATCCACTTTGGAGTTATGGCCTTTACAAAAAACAAGTTTCCAAACACTCCACTAAAATATATTTTGAATGTTACCTTTATCATGGTAAGCCACATTCCAGTCAAAGTCATCTTCCTTGTCCTGTACCCATTCACATGTTCCTTGATCAAAGTCACAGTCCATAATGGCTTCTGAAATATAGTAAAGCAAGTGTGAGCAAATGTGTGGTTGAGCAAAAGTGATGTTGTGTAAACAAAAAAAGAAATTGCATTACCTTCCTTTCCAGGATCCACGGAAATCTCCTTCACCTCTGACTGTGGGCCAAACACAGGAACTGTTAAGGGGGACAATGAGCAGAAGTCAGTGGGCATATGTTACATGTATGAACACAGTGTATGTAGGAATCATGGGTCAGAAATCTCAAACGTACAATCTGACCTGTGCAGCATTACATGGGCCAAAGTGGACACACAGATTGATAATGAACTCTGGCCTAGCATTGATTAGTCCATGACAGCTCCTGTTACATATCAATAATTAAGCTGAAAGACATGTGACCTCTGCATATGGCCAGATACATTAATGTGACCTTAACAACCATCAACTGATGCTTATGTTCTTATAGATGTTACATACTCATGCTGCTAAGTTACAAAATATATCAAAACCAATGTAAATTCCTTTAATTATATTTGCATAGAGCTTTGCTTAAATTCTAATACATGCAAATGATTATTTCGAAACTGTGCTTGTAAAGAGGAGGCATGATTATTATAAGGCTGTTTGTTAATGGAGCTAAACCAGAGAGCGTCTTTTCATCTTTTAGCAATGCACACTCACTCTAGCTGTCATTTTTCTGTTAACACACTGCCTTGAATGTGGGACAGGCTGCCTGCCTCTTCTGAGAAACCTGCTGATCTGTACGAAACACTTAACAAGCAGATGGACCAATGGGAGCCCCAGCAGCAGCAGAAGCAGATTGCAGTCTAATGACAGACATTCCCCTCTGAGGGATCTGTGCTATTTGCTTAACATCTGTTCCAGGGAATGGTAATGAAAGGCCCCAAATTTCTGTCTTTCCTCGCTCTCCCTCCCCGGGGATGGGAAGACCATGTGCCCAGGGGCTCACACGGCACTGAAGGGAATTCCTCCCCGATGGACAACTTGGGGCCTGTCTCCTCTCGCTGTCTGGTGAAACTGGAGAGAAGCCTGGCTTCACTGGCTTCTTCAGCACCGAACATCTGGCTGTCAGCGCAGGCAACCAAGTCAGAGTCAGAGAGACGAGATGTCTTGACGTATAGCTAGTTAGATTATTTTTCTGCATAATTTTTCTAAAATTCAAGAACATCTTGCCGTTTGGTTTAAATACTTCTAATCCAGCTTTGCTCTTGCATTTAGAACTTACAAAAAACATGTGGAATATGTAGTAACTGTCCACCAATCCAGTTCCAAGTCACCGGGTGACTTGGGAATGAAGGGAGAAAGGCAGGGAGCACCCAGACTGGAGGTGTGAAGGCCACCAGCTCGTTCCAGTCCATCTGACAAATTAGTATTTATAGGTAAAATGGATCACCAGATTTTGTGTGCTGATTTGTTAAAACACATTTTTTTTAACTTAATACATTTTATTACCATTTTGAAACAAGAAAATATAAGTATTTCAATGATATAAAATATAATTGTGATCATGTCATTTTTCCCCTTATCATCAAGGTGTTTTATGAAACTTGCATCAGGATCTATTTGGGAAACTGAAAGAAGCTATTTTTCTAATGTTCCTCCTACTTTGCTGCATCAAATGTACTTTTAGAGGGACTGGCAGGATCACTGCAGAATGACAGGAGAGTGGATGTTTTTGTCCTTTCAATCTAGGAAGGTGAACAAACAATATGAAAACTGAGTAATAAACAATAAATTTGCAAAAATATGGTAAATAAACATGTAATTTTTATGCATTTTACAGAAATTGAAAGTGGTAACGTGTATATATAATACCATGCCTAGTTCTAAAAATTGTGTATATAGGAGCATTAGTACAATATTTAATAACATTTAAATCTGAATGGTAAAAATTTAATTGAAAGCATAAATATAAATACTGTAAATTCCTCTGGACCCTGACCATTAAGAAAATTGTCATTATTAATGCTGATAAGTGAAAAATTCCACTGTTATGCATTTTGCCTATATGTATATGTAGGCATATATGTGTATATATATTCAGGATGTCAAAATGTACACATTAATCATTGTAATTAATTTAAAATATTCAATATGTTAAAATAAATGTATGAAATGAATGCATCTGTGTTTTGTTTGGGGTCTGACCGATGACACGGACCCCGCAAACCTCGCCAGAAGCAATAGAACTTGGCAGCTGATGCCATTGCACTGCATTATGGTGATTAAAGCACCAGAAAAATCCACCAACAATGTTTCTTACCATAAATCATGACCTGGTTATTGAATATAATCCACAGACTTTGTTTCGAACATATCACTATGCTCATGCTTGTATCTTCTGTGCAGTGATACGATTGGTGTGTGCAGTTTGGAATAAGGAAACAGTTCCTAGATTAAACTGCTTCCTACTACATTATGTCTTTATATTTGCATATTGATATTTCCTTTTGTTATACTGTTTGCATTTGTGACATTGCTGCACTGATTTTTGCACTAATAATCATACTGTTTACATTTCATGAAGGGTACTATTTATACTACAAAAAAGCACAAAAAGCTGGACATTGTACTTAAAAATGCAAATTTTTTTTGACTGATTTTACATTCATGCATTAATTGCAAAACGTGTAACCAATTTTTCTAATGTTAGGGTTAGAGGTTAGGGTTTGTGTGTGTGTGTGTGTGTGTGTGTGTGTGTGTATATATGATGATGTGAACACCGGAGATTTCATAAATCAAAAAAGAACAAAACTCTATGGAGTGCTGAGGCAACACAAATGTAAGTAGCTCCTTACAAAAGGAGTAAAAAGGAAATCATCTAGTATGGATAGCAAGGGAAATGGCAATAGTGGGTTAGAAGAGTAAACAGAAAGGAGTCTCACAGAAGACATCTCCCCGAGGACCGACTGGTGTCTCCTGCTCCTCCTCCTGCTCCTCCTGCCCCTCCTTCTCAGGCAGTCTGCTGTTTGGTTCCGTCTCGCCAGGATTTCCGATGTACACGTCTCCATCATAGTCAAAAGGCTGAAGATGAGTCTTCGAGCGCGAGGTTGACGCAGATTCAGGAATCAGGTTCCTTTTCTGCTCACTGTCAAGCTTGCTGTGCGGTGCTTTCAGCAGCAGGTCCGGAATAGCTGCAGGTTTGGGTATCAAGATCATCAGGAAGCTGGGAATGAACATGCCCCGTGGTGGGTCTTTATAACAGACTGCGATACAGTCCGCAAAATAGCCACTTTTTAATTAACCTAAGACGTATTTGCCATTTGCATCTGGCATGTTTTCTTATGCAGATTTGTAAATATTTGTAAAGCTAAATTCACATTGTACCGCCTTTTTTGTTTTGCTCAATTACTTGTTAAGTTTCTTTCATACAGTAGAGAGGTTAGGTCCAGCAGCAACACATATTGAAATTCTGATTTCATTGTATTTGTTATTTTTCTCAGTTGTGTTAACCACCTATTTTCCTTGAGTTAAATATCTTTTTGCATTGAGAAAAACCAAAATCCCTAGACAAGTTGAGTGGAAGTTGATGACCAAAGGTGGAAGTTGATGACCAAAAACAAGATGGGCTGACTCATTGATTACAACAATGAAGATGTCAATGGGAGGCATGAACATATTCCAGAGGAACACCATGCATATGGTCGATGGGAGGCGACACAAACCTCACAGTACAAAATAATAACAAGAACAACAATAATAATAATAATGTTTATTATTATTATTATTATTCATACTTGGTGAGAATATTAGTGTTGCAGGAGATGTAAGGTTGCAGTGAAGCTAAACATTCAATTTATTTGCTGTATTATATATAACTAAACACACAGATGCTCAAAGTACAACAGTACCCCATGCATGCATGGAAAAAAGTGCACAAAATAAAGGTCTGCCACATCAGCAATTATTATTTCCATCAGCGCACTGCTATGAAGCACATGTGTAGATAATTAAAACTCTGGCAGCAGATTGGCTGCAGGTAACAGGCAGTGCAGCATCTATGCTTTTTTTTTGGGGGGGGGGGGAGGGTTGAAGGTAATACTGGGACGTGAGGGGACTGCACAGAGTCACACATTCCGTAGTCTCACCATTGAGGAACTCATCTGCGCTGCCCCTGTCCACATCCCATGAATGCTGAAAGAATGGCTTTGCTAAAAAAGACAGAAGGCACCTTCATTTAGAGAAACCCTCTAAGAAAGCAAACGACGTATGGAAAGCCTAGCACCGGCCAGTATTTGTGTAATAAGAGAGAGACTATCACAGCACATCTCTGAATTGCCTTAAATTAATGCTTCATCGTGATGACACGTGTTCACACAGAGGCAGGAATTTGCACAGGTGTGATTTCCGTCGCAAGCTAACCTCAGTCGCATCCACAGAACGTGGTGAGGAACGGGAAACAGCAAATGGACCACATTCATGCATTCTTGTGTTTTGAGATATGTGATGAACTACTGTAGGCTTCTTGTCTCTGTATTTATTGTTTATCAAATGTGACCAAACATCATTTAAAAAGCTTCAGCACTGCTGAAAATAGTATGAAGCTGAAAACAATGTCGCCATGCGATGACTGTTAAAGAGTTTATCTCTTTTGCACCCACTTCATGTCTCACCTGTGCACTCAGTGCCGTTGCCCCTGAATCCCGCCTTGCACTTGCACTTATACGAGCCCTGCGTGTTCAGGCAGCTGGCATGCAGACTGCACCGGTGGCTGCCGTCGCCACATTCGTCGATGTCTGAAACAACGGTGCGCAAAGGGCAGCAAGTTATAACCCGCAAAAGGAGGAGGCTGCCTTGCGGAGCTGCAGATGTGGCGGCTTTTTGTCTCCAACTGAAGAGCACATTTCCAAAGCTCACTCAGTCCTTGGGATACGTGGACAGGATAAGTTCATAAGAGAGTTACTGTTACTGTGGATTAGCTCCAGGCCCCTGCCACTCTGAATAGGACTAGTGGTTACAGAAAATGGATGGATGGATGGATGGATGGATGATTAGAAAGCCTATCTTTGGCAGTCTCACTGAGTGAGATTTTTGAAATTTGCTCTTCAGGTAAACAATCTTTCCAAAACACTGCTTCACATCTACATTTGAACCAAATTGCTGAATTTCCTTACTTTAAAAACAGTCCCTGGTTATACAAAGTAGCTCACCTGCACAGTCATATTTGCCGTTGACGTACTTCAGATCGAACCCGATCTGACACTTGCAGAAATAGCTGCCGAAGGTGTTAACACATCTTCTGTTGTAAGGACAGGGATTCTTCATGGATGTGCACTCATCAATGTCTGTTGGATGTAGATGGAGGCTTTGTTACAGCAGAAGAAGGAGAAACAATCAACTTTTCCACTGCTCAGCTGCTTGTCAACATACATTAAAAATATACAAGCATTCATCATGACTTGTTTGGATGAACATTTATAGCGCAGAGTTTCCTAAGAACATCTGCAGTTGTTTTGACCCATATATCTAGTGACTCAGTGGACAGCCTGTGTGTCTCTCTAATCCAGGGTTAGGACTTTGGAGTTGGCATGTTCTCCTGCTATTGTTCAGGATTGAGCACCCTGGTCTCTTCCAGCTGCCCAAAAACATGTGATTTGGTTAAATGGCATCTCTAAATTTCCTTAAATGCACAAGTGCCCTATGGTGACCCGACATCCCATCTAGTGTATTCTGTACTTTGTCCCTGTACTTACTGGGATAGATTTTAGACTCATTGTAGTCCTATATTGGAAAAATGATCATAGAAGATCATTAGTGCAGGTTTATATTTTGCTGTTAGATAATGGATTGGGGAAGAGTTGCTATCCTGCTGAAGTTAAACACCAACTTGGTGTGGGAGCGTGAGAATCAAAAGCATTTACCGACACAGGTTCTCTGGTCTGGGGCCAGCTGCAGGCCCAATGAGGGGCAGAGGCAGCGGGTATGTCCCTGGACCTCCTCGCAGCCGTACTGGCAGTGAGCCAGCAAGCAAGTCCTGGAGTCTAGGGCAGGACATAGCACCATAAGAAAATGAGCGACACATCATCTGCTGTGTTAATAAGGAATTCAGGCAGCTATGAAGTACCTAAGTCAAGGGTACTCCAACTGAAGTGCCTCCTAAAACAAACCCTGCAATATATTGGTTGAGTCCAGGTACTTACCTATGATGCCACCTACTGATGACACCACAGCAATGCAAAAGTGTAGGACTGTGTCTTTATACAGGCACCGGGGGCCGTAGTGAAGGTGTACGTACCAGCACAGGAGCCGTCGGCCATGAGCATGTATCCATTCAGGCAGTAGCACATGTAGCTGCCGTGGGTGTTCATGCAGCGATGCTCGCATGGTCGTGGCTTCAGGCCGCACTCGTTCAGATCTGCAGAAAACCACACACTCATTGCCCTGCATTCTCCTTCCCCAGAGATCGCATGACAGATTATTCACCTTTGCTTTTATGACGGCCAGGTAGATTTCATGGGAAGCTCTGGAAAACCAGGTCCCTGAATGTTAAACCTTTTGTGTTTAATTCCTTTAGCAGACATTGTTAGTCAGAATCCCTATTTTCAATTTGTCCATAAAAGCCTCAGAAATCATCTTCTGCATGCTAGAAGCATATGCACCTTTATTTACCGTTAAGCTGACTTGACTAAGTCTGTGACTTTGTGCTGGGTGGTGCTGCCATAACATTCTCAGAGTGTAACATCCTGGGTGTGCAGGTATGCAGCAGCAGTTATAGGGCTGCAAACATGGAAGGAATGGCTGCTGATTTAATGGCAGGAAGCTGAAGAGCTGCAGCTTAGGCATGATGAAGACATCCTGACAGGAGTTACAGACGGCCGAGCCCTCACAGGAGTTACAGACGGCCGAGCCCTCACAGGAGTTACAGACGGCCGAGCCCTCACAGGAGTTACAGACGGCCGAGTCGTTAAGTGCACTGACCTTGGCTGCATGTCTTCCCGGTGTATCCTGGGAAACACTTGCATTTGTTGGGCCCCACACATTCTCCATGCTTGCATCCATGTTCGCACTGGGCTGTTGACATGGTAACAGGGTTACAGAATACAGTGGATATGAAAAGTGGACACACCCCTGTTAAAATGCCATAAAAAAGAGACCATGATAAATAACTTCAAAACTTTTCCCACCTTTAGTGTGACCTATAAGCTGTACAATGCAATTGAAAAACAAAAAATTCTGTTTGGGGGAAAAATATAAAAAATAAAAAACATAGAATAAGCTCATTGCATAAGTGTGCACTCCCTTAAACTAATACTTTGTTGAAGCACCTTTTGATTTCATTTCATCTAATTAAATCAAAGACTATTGTGGTAGAAAAATTCTGAGTCAGCATGCCACATCTTGACTTAGCAATATTTGCCCACTGTTCCTTGCAAAGCGCTTGGGGTCATCATCATGCTGAACGGTGAAGTTCCTCTCCATGATCAGCTAGCTAGCAGGCAGCTGTAGGTTTTGGGCCAAAAATTGACTGGCATTTGGATCTGTTCATAATTCCCTCCCCTTTGACTAAAGCCCCAGTTCCAGCTGAAGAAAAGCAACCCCAAAGCATGACGTTACCACCACCACGCTTCACTGTGGGTCTGGTGTTCTTCTGGTGATGCGCAGTGTTGTTTCTGCGTCTAACATACCTTTTGGAGTTGTGGCCAAAAAGTTCAACCTTGGTTTCATCAGACCATTACACATCTTCCCATATACTTTAGGGAGACTTGATTTTATTTTTTTTGCTAAATTTAGTCAGGCCTGGATGTTTTTCTTTGTAAGAAAGAGCTTCCATCTTGTGACCGTGTCCCATAGTCCAAACATATATAAGAATATAGAAGATTGTTGTCACATGTAGTACATAACCAGTACCTGCCAGAAATTCTTGCAGCTCTTTCCGTGTTGCTGTAGGTCTCTTGGCAGCCCCCCGATCAGTTTTTTTCTTGTCTTTTTATTGATTTTGGAGGGACGTCCTGTTCTCGCTAACGTCACTGGTGTGCACACTTATGCAACAAGCTTATTGTATGTTTTTTATATATATATATTTTCTCTCCAAAACAGATTTCTTAATTTTCCAATTGAATTATACAGGTTATAGGTCACATTAAACATGATGTATTATGGTCTCATTTTTTTACATCATAAAAACTTGCCATTTTATATACACTGTACATCACTACCTGAACAACTGAGGTCACAGTCTACCTGCCTACTGCATGGTATCTAGACAAGGTATAGTAACAATTGAAATTTAATTGTTAATGTTCCCAGCAATTACAGCTTACATTTCACTGCATGTTGTACATGTACATGTGACAAACCTCTAGAATCTGGAATCAAATGAAGGGCTCATTCTGACCTGAATTAACCTACCCCAAATGGTATTTTCCCGGTTAAAATTCTTTGAACCAGAGATCTAGATTTCTTGTACAATTAATATACATAAGGTAAACTGACTCAATGTGTGTTAAAAAGGTGATTGATTCACATGACTGCTCATAAATACAGTGGCCCATAACTACAAAACACGACAGCAAGAACTAAAACGCAGCAACATTAACAAAAACACAAAAGCAAAAATGAAAACACAACAATATTAACAAAAACACAACAGCAAAAAGGAGAACGCAACATTATCAAGAATAACAACATTGACTCAAATCAGAAAGGGTAGGACCTCATTGAACATCATGTGCTCATTTTTGATTGGGAACAGAGTACGACTATCATAGCAGGGTCAGGGTTAGTCATCTTCAATTCTGAGGTCAGGGTTGCACAGGTACCTCCGAATTCCCAAGTTGGAACTCAACTAATAGCTCATACTATCTAGCTCTTAGCTTGCATCACACTAACCGGAAGACTATTCCATACTAACTACATGCTGTGTATAAAAAAAGTTCTTTCTCAAATCCAGTTTATATTGTTCTCCTGCTAATTTCCACCGACGGCCACAAGTTCTTCTTCTATATTACTCTGAATTCAGATGGTGTTCCAGTTGAAATTTCTGTGTTCTGAATTCAAATGGAACACAGCAAAACAAATGCACCAAGATGGCAACAGGAGGCGGAGCTTGGCCATTGTGCAATAAACTGCAATCCTCCTGTGATAGTTATACCCCCATGTCCAATCAGAAGCAAGCATGTGATGTTCAGGAAGGACTTACCCTTTCTGTTTTGAGATAATATCATTGTGTATTAATTTTTGCTGTTGGGTTTTGTTAATGTTGTTTTGATTTTGTTTATATAGGCCATTGTACATAAAACATTTATGTATTCTCTCATAAAACTGCATGTTGAGCATACCTTTTAAATAATCATATGTAATTCTGTTTGGGCATGAAACCAAACAGGCTTGGGTGTAACACTGTGTCATTGTAGGATGAAGGATCCACTTTCTAATTCCATATCTAACCGAAGCAGAGGCTAATTAGCCGCTCACCTTCACAGAACCCTTTGCTGTTCTTCTTCCAGCCGTAGCAGCAGTCCAATCTCCACCCATAGCGACACAAGCCTGGCTGGGTCCCTGCTGAGACCTGCCTGGTCTGTCTGAGTGGGCGAAGAAAAAGGCCACAAAGGGACAAGCATTCAGTCATGTTTAGTAACTGCTTCATTCAGGAGTTTGGCTTTGAATTTACCTGTCCTGTCAGAAGGGCAGCTGCTTTATATATAGTGCTGTGTATTGAATAGCTATGTGGCCAGGTCAATCCAAAAAAAAAAAGAAAAAAAAAGTAAATGTGACAATTATTCCTGTCTTCTGGATCCAGATGATGAGTAGGGTGGCCCGGTGGGCTGCAGCCTCAGGGCCAGGCTGTGATCAGCATCCTTCCCTGTCTGCCTTGGGCTCATGTGGTTCCCCTGGGTACCCCGCTCTCCTTTCCTTGGCTAAAGAAATCAGTACTTATTTGTTTACTGGATATCTCCCCTGAAGTGACTCGAGGGTGTTTGACAAGACCAGTAAGGGCAACAGATGACACACAAAAATATACAAAAATATAGTTGTGTATAACGACACAGTATAACGCAGCCATTTTGACGACAGAAACAAGGAAACACAAAAAAACAAATCAGCTTTCAGGCAGTGGAAAGGGCTGAGATAGGGTGAAGGGTTAGGAGTGTCCAGGTGTGTGTTCTGTGGTCAGAGAAAGAAAGCCAAGCTCAATTGGGAAACAAGTACTAGACTCAGTCACTCAATTACTGGAAACAATACTCAAGTAAAGTAAACGACTGGGCTGGTCTCCTGCGTTCATTTTGCCCCAGGAGGACCAAATAATACATGTCAGAGACTGATGATAGGTGAATAAGTATATGTACAATGAACTTTACAGTGCAGAAAGTTATATACAGTATGTATATAAACAGGCAAACAGTAGTAAGCCCTAGAATGAATATGAAACACTAATGTGGCTCCAGTGAGAAACAGCGGAGAAATCAAAGGACACAGAGGGAAATCAAGACTCCACAGGAAGCAGAGGCATAG